CCTAGGATAAATTTATGAGCAACCACTCGCCAGAAAACGGTCAAGAATGAGGCAGATTGGAGGAGCGTCAACAACGATCACTAATCGCATAAACGTGAAGCATATCATTCAAAAATACTGGTTTAAGTGCTGGACGCTAATTATAACTTTTCATAACCTAGAAGGATCTCCCAGCAAAAGGTTATTTGAAACTTCTGCCCAAAAATCAAAGTTCGCTACCAGTAACATGCTGATCTTCCGGATAGAAACATCCTCGTGCATCCCTGTTTGGCACTGCTTATGGAACGGTCGGTGTGGGTATCGATGCTCGCAGTCGAATTAGTTTCATTTACAGATAAGCTTGCCTCCCTCTCATTTACAGTACAATTCAATAAAGTGTCTCAATGGCCAAACAACAATTTGAAAAGTTTTGATGAAATTAGTTTGTGAGGATATTACTCGTTCAAAACTGTGTTTCGCGCATGTAGCGCCGTTCTATCGCTGCTGCATATGTTAGAGTCTTATTGAGCGGGTTACTGCTTTTTATAATTGCCATCTAGGCATATGGAATTGTCCGGGTTGACCATACTCCGTTATGTGGTTTTTAATATACCTATGTGCTTAGTAAGACAAATAAATCCTATATTCGCTGCAGTCAATTCTTAGTAACTGTTTTAAACATAACTATAAAAACTAACTGATTATAACATCTTCGTCTGGTCAAGACAACATTGAAAGACGGATTCATACTTGGTGAAATATGCTAAGAGTTCATTTCATTCCCCTGAAATGACCTTCAAAATGAATTGTTTGGATTTAATGCTAACAGGCACAACAGACAACTGATGATCTGCACTGTTGTCTAACTGCCAAAGTTGGAGGGACATATTGCATCGATTGTACATGAGTTCTACTACCAAAGGTGCCATGTTACATGTGTCCTGAAAAGGACTTATCCTTTTGAAATAATACTTATTCACCACGAATCGATATGAAAAACAGTCTTTTAGAATAACGGTTGAAAAAATAATACAATTTAAATCAACGCATTGATGACGAGATCCATAGCAGCACCAAGCAAGCGAATGGTTCATTACGTAAGAGCGACTGTGCGAGCAGCTGGCACAGTTAGGTCCCTCCTCAGGGTCATTTTCCATGCAGATCAAGGGTTAACGCCATGCTCTATGTTTTTTGACAGGAGTTGTTCATTATGAGTCAGCATTTTTTATGGCAGGTGTTGCACCCCTTCGCGGAGAGTTGTTTTTCTTGTGATAATTTGAGGTTCGAAGTTTACCTGTTTGTTCGTTCACATCAGTATTCATAGTCCATTTTGTATATATGATGTTTAACACCTGACACTGAAGGTTTCTGATGTCCTCATTCGGCAGAGTCTAGGTTTCAGGTCTACGAAATAGGAATCGTACGATTTTGAAGTAAAGTGAAATTGGTTTCCAGCTGAACCGTGACTGTTGTCTGAACTCTGAACTGACCTGTAACTTGTGCCAATTACCCAACGACAGAGGCAGTGAGATTGATCCTACCAGCATATGTGGTTTGTTTCTTCCAATAGAGTACTACTGCGAAGACCTAAACCAAAACCAAACAAGTCTGAGGTCATTTATTGAGTCAGCAGTAGCCGTGATGACTTGCGACGTCCCTCTTATCCGAAAGGATTGATTTACTCATAAAGCCGCTGGATGCGCGTTTTCTGCACCTTCAATCTTATTTGCAGGTCTATATTGTGTAACTAATTAACTTGTACCCGCATATTCAATAATAGACATGACATTTCAGTAATTTATCGTCATATCGTTTCTTTAATGCTCCAGCGTTGTGTCATTTCTTTCACGTCAAGAAGGTCAGACTTGCTCAGTCGGTGGAACGTTGGACTCAGAACTTAGAGACCCCAGGTATGAACCCACTAGAGTCACCCTAGTTTTGACCTTCTGAGGTTGATAAATGAGTATCACTTTAGGAAAGAAAATTGAAAATTGCACATTCTGCTTACAACATTGCTGTTGTTGACTCTGCCTGTAAAATCGGGCAGTACTGACAAAAGGGAAACAGGGCCAAACCGATGATTTCATGAACATAAGGACGCCAGGAATAATTTCACCATAAAAGTGTAATTAAGATAGACATTCCAGCACTTACAGACTTTCCTTTCATTTATTTTTTGTCATGTTTAAGTGGCCGTTAACCCATACACAGTTTGAATGATCGGCATTTAAATATTCCCGGCGTGCGTGAGGTAGTAGTTTCAAAAAGAGGACGCTCGTTCTTTTAGGATAGTTTTGTTACTCAAACAGTGACAACTACTACTGAGTCTCGGTGCTCAGGTGCTTAGAAGGCTACTGTATCACGTTGTATGTTTATTCACTGCATACTCTTCTCACTCACCGTTGTCAAATGGCTTTGGAGCAGTTAAGCTGTCTCCCAGGACAGATGTTTTTTGGAATTTTATCCTTCTTTTAACATCTAGACGTTGATCGAGCTTACAAGCCGTCGGTTCATCTCCTTTTCAGCTTATCTTCGATAAAGATTTTACTTTGATTAATCACAATCCTTAATTTCACTCCGTGACTCAGACAACCAGAATTATTTCTCGTTTGTAAGCAAGTCATGAGCTGCGAATCATGGATTATTCCGGATAAACTTGGACAGCGGTCCCCAGTCTGGCATCTACTCAACTTTATGACGGATATCTTTCTCCTAGGTGGAAGAATAGTTATATTCACATTTACCCTAACGGCTAGAGGAAGTGCACTAACCAGCAGTTTTCCCTACAATGACATCTTTTACTTTGGTCATTGCGTTTTAATGATCATCATTACGATGAATAAAGAATTTTAACTACTTTCACTTGATAACAACGCACAGATGAATGCACATCGCTGACGGAACTAGCACCTCGTTATATCGTAGAGATAACGCGTGACTCCTCCAAAACCAGATTTCACGGCGCATTGTTCATAGTTGCCTAAGGGGTCAATTGCAGGTCATGATTTTATGGTGTTTGACCATCGGCAGTGCCACGGAGCCATTTGTCTGCACAAATGGCCTTCTTAGGCAACGAGGAGTATGGAAGGGGTGCAATACGCCGCGAAATCTGGTCATTGAGAGTCCATGTGTTATTCGATATACACCGGTGTATGAACAATTCCTGATGATTATACGTTGCTGTATATGAAATTCATGATGAGGACGACGACAACTAAATTGCCAGTACTGTAGTCTGCAGGGGCCAGTTTGATCAAAACGTGTTTCCTTCATTGCGAGCGATGGCCTGTGATTATGCAGTTGCTCTTTTGGACTTTTATGAGGAAATAAGTCGTTCGAGAAAATACCATTTTTTACCATTCATTACGATGACCGGAAGAGTCAGCTTGTGAAGTCACTGATCCGGGTCATGGGAATTTTTGAACTGGCATTATGTGAAATGAAATCCCGTATGTGCTTAAGATTTTGTTCGGTTTTGTGCAGTTGCCTAATCTACCATAAGATTTGGACCAATCAGTAGCCGTACTTACCGACTGGTATGATGCGCGGGTAGCCATGCGTGAGGGAACAGTTGCTGATGATAAGGTGCAAAATGATGGTACAGAAACCAGTCGCGGAGCGGACCATTCTGAGGCAGTCGCCAGATGAAGTGAGGTTGTGAATTGAAGCATAAGAGTCTGGCTGATTCGACAGAAGGTGGCGCAAGCGAGAGCAGCTAAGGACGAGAGGGATAAATGAGAAATGAGGCAAAGAATCAATTGAATTCAATTCGCATCGCCACTGGATTGCCTCAAGCGACGAGAGGGAGACTTGTGGCTGGACGGCTTCTCCGCCATCTGGTTTTGCTGGAATGATCGTCTCACAAATTGAACCGCTGTTGAAGAGTTGGACCGCAAATTAAATAAATTTACACAAAACTGCATTTGTTAGTTACTGCGGTTTTCGCGCGCCGATTTCCGTTAATCGATTATCGAATCCAGGAGACAAATCAAATTACGACCAATGCTGTAGTTCCTTCAGAAGCCATTTTGGAGAAAGAATAGTGATATAATATCATAAACTTCGAACGATGGAGGAGAATAAAGAAAAGGGGACAAGCAGCTCATTTAAAAATGGAGAGGGCTGAAAAAGAAGAAGGCGACAAAGGGAGAAGGATCAAGTGACGAAGAAAAGAAGGGCAGCTGGATGGAGGGACAAAAGCGCCAGGGAAAAACAGACGCATAATAAGGTAAAAGATAAAATTGACAAATTGCTTGAGAAAGAGAAAGCGAAGAAGGGAAGTGGAAGAACAAGGCAGAAAGGTAAGCTAAAGAGAGGAAATGAAAGAAAGATAACGGGAAGAAGAAGCAGGTAGAGAATAATGAAGAGGACAATGAAAAAATAGGGCAGAACGATAAATAAGTGGCTAACGAAGAGGGGTAAATAATCACTCTGTTCTGATGGCCGCTTGTCGTTTCAGGTCGCCGAGGCAGCAGCGCCAGACAGTGTCTTCAGGGTTCCCGATCCTGAGCCACAGTACGTCGAAGCACTTCCCTTACGGTATCCTCTACCGCCTTCCAGGTCGTCGCATTGTAGTTCAATTTTTACAAAACGGGTGTCAACAGCAAGACGGTGATCAGTTGACAGCTCTGCGCCTCTCTTGACGCGAACATCCATTACAGAGCTTCGCATGTCAGACGATACGATAATCAAATCGATCCTCGAATCTTATCCGCCAGTTCTTGCAGTTTCTGGAGCTCGAAGAAGTTGGCCATAACAGACGGACCGTTGCTTGCACAAATGTGTAACAACCTTTTACTGTTATTATTAAGAACCCTAGGGCCAATTTTTTCTAAATTGTCACAGACAGAGCATATGCACATGTTGTAGTGACCGCTAAGGCATTTGTGCATGTTGTCGACCGCAGGGTCTATCATACATCGGAGTAGCTGAAAGTTAGGGGGTAGACCAAAACCTCAATCCTGACTATACCGTTAATAATCACTAAAGAATAATCATACCGTATCAGGCATCGGATGGGCTTACCGGGAGGTGTACAAACCTTAGCGCAGAGATTCCTTCGAAGGCGATACTACGGTGACCCTTCTGGTTACTCGTAGCAGCCAATCAGGCTACTAATAACCAATTCAATGAACCTGCTATCCAGTTGTTGGAAAATTATGGCACCGCTAAGCTCTAAAAGGACCTTCAAAATTTTTAGATTGAACACACTTACTTCAGCGGGTGTCAATTTTGGATCTGCATGGGTCCAAAAATTAAGTTTCAAAACCACATAATTTTCTTTCATAGCTGACAGCGGTCACAATCCTTCCTTTCGACACGTTTTCAGTAGGATATCCGTTAGCTCTAATTTGCCTACTATTTCGTTAGAGGTCTTTCGAGGGTCATAGTTATGAAGGAACTGCTGCCTCTTGTACGCTGTCTTGCACTGTAATTTTTACCTCGTGATGTCTTTGCCATTTTTCTATGATACGATTATGAGGCTAGGTATTAAGTGAAGTTCAAAAACCAATAAGATCATCGCCAATCAAGCTCGTATGCCTGTAACTCTGATATCAAAATGACAGTTCCAATGATACTAATGGCGATAAGACAATACGATTTACTTTCCTCGTCGGTCAAAACGTGTGGTTGTTGCGAATGACTACGCCGAGCAACGGTAATAACTCGATAGCGATCTTTCACGAAACCGTGAAAGGATTAAAATCGCCGATGCGTGAGGTTGCACCTCAGCGGATAATCGTACTCTTATGGCGAACAAAAACGCGGTGCAGACTCCATCGCTCATTCGCCTCCCTTATCTGAGTTGTTGATAGTTCGATTGGAAGTACTCCGAACTCGGGGTTCTTGACAACTCGTGCATGTAAGCCGCTCGGGTCGACACCTAAACCCAATCAGCTGCGAACAACTTCTGTTTGGAGGAAAAATTGGCTCGTAAATTTCACTCGTCCCCCGCGTATCAGCGGCTTTCACTCATAAGCGTCAGAATCTATGGTTCAGCTGGAATACGCAACCGCCTCAACTACAGGCAATCACACGATCAAGCTAAACTGGCAAACCAGTTCTGAGTTTTTCCCTCGTTGCGAATTAAACCTTGCAATGAGCACTTCAAATAAAAACTTAATTAAGAGGATGTGGGAATGACAATTGGGAAAGGAGCATACGAACGAATGAGGTATTTTTCTAAATTAGTTTTAGAATTTACGGTTTCTTCTTGCGTCGGCAATTGGACAGACTATTTTTAGAGGTCGAATGAAACACCACAGTATGATGTAAATTACTTTTCTACATACGACGTAGCCAGCATGAGTCATAATGACGCCATATTGTATTATTTTGAGCAAATCGTAAATTTTCCAGTACCGGTTCTTCTCAGCTCATTGTACTTTACCAGGATGTACAGATATCTTTTTATTGTCCGTCAGTCAACCAGTTAGTGAGTCGAATTAGCAGTTAATGAATGAATTTAAATATTCTCTCGAACGCCAACCGTGTAATTTTCTCTTCATAATCGTTGACTAATATTTTATATTTTGAGGTAATGTAGCTGACTGAGGATTTAATAAGTTGTTTCAAAACCAGTCTTTCTGTTTAAGAGCACTAGGTGCAGCAAAACCCCGTTATAAACTCCCTCAAGATTAGGAAGATTCATAAATTACACCGGACTAGCCATGTTCCTCAAAACGATTCTATTTATTTTCTCCTTTAATAACTATGTTTCAAATTTTAAGTCGTTTTTCAGGCAAGATGGTTCGAATTGCACTATATATTTTCTCTGAAGTCAACTTCGTTTCAAAGTCTGTCGCGAGTTATTTTCTAATTAATCTGTTTGGTGTGAAATTACACGAGAGGCTGCTGGCAGCCGTAGCGCAAACAATGGGTCTGGTGAGTGGGTCTTTACATCCCTCATAATATTTCATTTTACACTACATGTGACTTTCGAAACAGATGCCCTATAGTTTCCCATTTTGATGCACGTGAAGCTTCCAATGTTCTTGCATGAAGTAATAAAATTAAATCACTTGTGGGTGGTGGGACTGGCTTGACGACGATGACGAAACTCTCGTT